CTTACTACTAACATTATCATGTTACTCAGCACTTCATGGTAATTGGAAAGTACTAAATTTTATCAATGATCAATTTTAGAAATACAATATAGAATCTACTAGTGAATAAGTGTGCATATCAGTTTAGACCTTTTTCAAAATGCTGAAATTACTAACCATTTTTAGCTATTTTATGAAAATTAAGCATGACATCTAATTTTAATGAAAATATTTAATTAAGAAATTGATTACATAATTAAGAGATATTTTGATCCATCACGAGAATAAAGACTAGCTAAAATATTTAGCTGACATTAAGTACAGATGTTTAGTTGTTTAGCACTGCATGTTTCTTTATTACTGTAAAGTCACTTCATGAATCAGTAAAATTATATTCTTCAGGTTATCACATTGACATATTTATCCTTTTAAAAATATATCGTCTGTCTTGGTGTGACTAAAAGGTAAATGGAAAGGTACTTCCATTGGACTTACAAAGAAAGAACATGGTATTCACCAGAAAAAATATGATATGCAAGGTTTTGCTTTTGTTGGTTTAAAATGTATACTCCCCAGTAGAAGTCACCATTACTCCAAGTCAGTGGGTTTGTTCAGTTATCTCTTCACCCAGACAAAAAGTCAGCTCAGGGATCCAAAAGGCATCTATTCTGAACCCAGGATTTAGTGCACTGGTGAGCAGCAGACAAAAGGCTGCTTGTGGCTTGCTGAGAATTAAAGATTACTAGGTGAGCAAAAAGTTGCCTCAACAAAGGTACAGCAGGCTGCATCTTTTGAAATGAGAAGACATATAAACAAGTCTCAAAATCAGACTTATAGATCACCTAAAGCAACCATAAAAGGCAAAAAGATGGAACAATTTGATATTCAACCATCAGGACTCCCTGAACTGGCAACAAAAGAGTGTCTGGAAAAAATGAAATCAGAAATAATTTCTCAGATAACAACAGAGACTGTGACCATAACACAAAACATGATTAATAAATCTAGAGCAGACACAGATGAAAAAATTGAGGACCTGAGGAACATGATGGAATCCCAACATAGGAAACAAATGGAATCCATAAAAGAGATGCAAAAAAGATTTCCAGGAGATTAAAAACTTCACTGAAAGCTTACACAGCAGAATGAGTCAATGTGAGGAAAGAATTTCAGATATAGAAGATTGGATTGCAATTAGTGATGAGGAAAAGAAAAATGTCTTTAAAATAGTAAGGGATCATGATAAATCAATACAGCAGCTGATAGGTGATGCAAAAAAGAATAACATAAGGCTGTTCAAGCTCAATGAAAAAACAGGAGAATGTGTATTCGACAAAAAAACCTGTACACAGAAGTAATGGCAGAAAACTTCCCAATAGGAGAAAGGATCTTGACATATAGATAATTGAGGCATACAGGACTCCAACTAGCTATGATCAAAAAAGTCTACACATAGGTATATAATAGTTAAGATTCCAGAAACCCAACGGGAAAAAAAAATTTCTATAAGCAGTTAATGAAAAGAAACAAATCACATAAAAAGGAAAGCCCATCAGAATCACAGCAGACTTCACAACACAAACCCTCAAGTAAAGAAGATCTTGGAGTGATGTATTTCAAGCCTTAAAGGAAAAGAACCTCCAACCCAGATTGAAGTACCCTGAAAACTATCTTTCAAAACTGATGGAGAAATAAGATGTTTTCATGACAAAGAGCAACTGTGGAACTTCATGAATACCAAATAAGCACTCAAAAACTTTTAAAATGACATCCTGGAAAAAGATAAGGATCACAACCCAGGAAGCCCAGCACAATGAATCCATCTGGCATGACAATAAATTAAACTCAAAGGGGGAGAATCTAACAAAAAGTTACCACAGGGATAAGCCACTATATATCAGTTATAACCATCAATGTTAATAGTCTCCATTCACCTAACAAAAGAAATAGACTGGCAGAATGGGTCAAGAAGCAAGATCCAACATCTTGTTGCATACAAGAAACACACTTATTTCAAAATAAACTCATAGACTGGAAGTTAAAGGGTGGAAAACAATACTCCATGTAACAGGGGGAAAAAAGCAGCAGTAGCTATCCTCTTTACAGATCAAGTGGATTTCAAACCAACACTGATTAAGAGAGACAATGGATGCTACATCCTTGTAAAGGGAACAATCAAAGAGGAAGAGATAACATCATAAATATATAGGCACCAAACACAAGTTCATCCAACTATATGAAACAAAAACTAACAGACATGAAAAATCAAATAAGCACTCAAATAAAGGTAGTGCAGGACCTCAATACCCCACTATCACATATAGATAGATTAACTAGACAGAAAATAAATAATAAAATACTAGAACTCTAACAAACTCTTGAATAAATTAACTTAACAGATGTTTATAGTGTTCCACCCCACAAAATCAGAGTACACCTTCTTTTCAACTGCACACAGGTCATTCTCCAAAATGGAGCACATATCCACTGATAGAACATGGTAAAGCAAGTACAAAGGAATTGAAGTTATCCCCTGTATATTATCAGACCACAGTGTGATGAAATTGGAGATCAATAGAAAAAGAAGTCACAAGAGTTTCATAAATACAGAAATCGAACAACACACTTCAAAATAACCAATGGATCACAGAGGAAACTAAAGAAAAAATCAGACAGTTTCTACAATTAAATGACAATGTCAATACAACATTTCAGAAACTATGGGACACAATGAAAGCAGCCTTATGAGGAAAATTCATAGCAGTGAATACTCATATTAGGAAAACAGAGCAAGCTCAGTTACACAACCTGATGCTGAACCTCAAGCTCCTAGAAAAAGAAGACCAGGGCAAACAAAAACCCAAAGCTCATACAAAGGAGGAAATTATAAATATCAGAGTAGAAATAAAGGCAATGGAGACTAAGAGAATGACACAGAACACTCAATGAAGCAAAGAGTTGGTTCTTTGCAAGAATAAATAAAATTGACAAACACTTTTCCAATATTACCAAAAAAAGAAAAGGCCCAAATCCATGCAATTAGGAGTGAAGAGGGTAAAATTATAACACATCCAGCAGAAATCCAGAGGATCCTCAATACCTAGTTCAAGAACCTATATGCCAATAAGATGGAAAGCACAGAAGAAATGGGGATATTCCTGGATACATATGAATTACCAAAGTTGGACGAAGAAGACCTAAAAATTCCAAACAATCCAATATCAATCAATGAAGTTGAAAACGTGATTAAAAACTTACCAACTAGGAAAAGTCCAGGTCTTCGTGGCTTTACTGCTGAAATCTACAAGACATTTTAAAAGGAACTATCACCACTACTGTTTAAATTCTTCAATGAAATTGAAAGGAAAGCAATACTACCAAATTAATTCCTGGAATCAAGTATCACCTTGATCCCCAAAGCAGAGAAAGACCCAACCAAAAAAGAGAACTATAGGGCAATCTCACATCAATGCAATAATCCTTAATAAGATAGTGGCAAATAGAATGCAGATGATCATCAAGATTTTACTCCCTGAACAAGTGAGATTCATCCCAGAGATGCAGGTATCAATAAATGTAATTCACTATATTAATAGAGCCAAGGACAAAAACCATATGATCATCTCAATAGATGCAGAAAAAGCATTCAACAAAATCCCAAATGTATTCATGATAAAAACCCTACACAAAATTGGAATAGTTGGTCTCCACCTCAATTTTTAAAATTTTATTATTATTATTTTTTGATACCAAGGATTGAACTCGAGTCCTTGTGCTTGCGAGGCAGGCGGCAGAACCATGAGTTAAATCCCTGGCCTGGTTGCCTCCTCAATCTGATAAAAGTTTATCTTTGCCTTTTCCCCAGTTCTATAATAATCAAAGAGAATTTAATTTACTTAATCTTTCCAGATGAGACTCAATACCACACAAAGAAAATATCCTAATTTCTGCAAAGGCAATGTGAATTAAAACAATTATACAACTAACGAATACTGAAGGGACAAATGTTATTTTTTACTTCTTTGCTTGTTTTTAACCCTTAGAAGTGTAGAAATGATAACTGATAAACAAAGGTCACAATCTTTGCAAATGGAACTATAATAAAAATAAATGAAACATTTATTCATAAATAAAGCCCATTTTATTACTTCAAGTGTTAATGATAAAATACTTTAGCAGAGCTGTTGCATTTTAAAAAGTGAAACTACACTATAGATCACAATGAACAGGTGAACTCAATCCCTTTTGATGTCATGATAATTGAGCATTGCATAATACATTTTATGAACACCCATTAGTGATTACAAAACAAATACACATTTATCCTTTCATCTTCTTTTCTCCTCTTTGACCATTGGGTGCTCCATTTGTTTTATGCTTCTGTGTCTACAAACAAGCAGAAAGATTACTTTGCATCATAAGACTAATACAAACATGAACTATATGCACTGTAGCACTGTAACAATAAAAGGTAACTTTTTCTCCTTAAAATGCTTTCCTTTACACTGCTAAGATATCACTGGGACAATAAGTCAAAGCTTAGACACTAACAGTAAAGGTTGCAATGCCACCATTTGCCTAATATTTCTTAAATTATTCTAAAATTATGACTTGTACTCAGAAGAGAACAGTGCCCTCTTAGCATGCATGACATACACCTCCCCAGATTTTCAGGAACTTTTTCTTATAACATTATTTTCCTGGTGCAATCAAGTTAAAAATTTTACTTTAGCTGACTCAGCTGTATTATTTATAAAAACAAAGCAAAAAACTCTGCCCATCAATACCCAGGTAGTGTTCTTAAAATGAAAAATGTGAAATTTAACAATTTCTATATCTGCATGTGTTCATGACACTTACTGAAGGCTTTTGTCTTCATTTCCATTTCTCTGACTTCTCCTTTTTTTCTAGTTCCATGTTTTGTCTTTCAGTCAATGTAAGTAAGGTATCACATCTCCTTTGGTGTTCTTTTTTTTTTTTTCCCTTTGGTGTTCTTGAGTTACAAATATAAATGTACATCATAAACTTGTATTTTCCATCTCATTGCCATGATTTAAACCTTTAAACAAAGATATGTTTTATGAGATAACATAAAGCCAGTCATACATCCCTGTACACTAGAGACAAGCAAAAGGAATTTACTTTCATACACCATCCATATCATGAATAAAAAAAGACTACTTCATGTTTTTACCTCATTCTTTAAAACCATACTGGTGTGCACTCTTCAATACTTACCTTTCTTTTAGGAATTACAACAAAGTACATGAATGTCTTATATATTCAATTCTGCTAATTTACTGTCTGTGTCTAAGAAGTCCATACTATTTATAACCAAAAAATATTCCAAAATAATACACATATTTGAGGGTCAAAATCAACTAGAACTTCAGTATTACAGGGAACAGAAATCCATCTGCAGCACTGTCGACTGTCAGCTGTGATCCTTACAGGGCAAAAGTGGTTTTGCTGCCATAATAAGTGAACCCTCTACGTAGACAACCACAGCTCAGTCATTTATAGGACACATGACACTAAGCTGAGAAATACTGACAGTAACCCACAGACAGGACGTTATGAACAAGCCAAAGTCCGCTCTCCCTTTTCAAGGGTGCGGTGGCATACATACCACCAATGTGTTACGGACATGCTATGGTTGGAATCCTGATGACTCCTGGGTGAGGACTAGGTCCCAGTAATCAACACAGGGCTAAGTATATTAGGATTTGTTCCTGATTGACTAAATAAATTATTTCTATTTACAAAGACATCGATTTTACAGCAAGTGAATCTATCATTCATCTACCTACATACTTATATTGTGTTTTGTCTTCTGAAAAAGTTGTATTCAGTGGTCAAATATGAAAAAGCTGTTGCATATTGTGATATTCTACTCTAACTATACCAAGAGGTCTTAATATAAAAATTAAACTTTGCTGAACTACATTTTCATCATCCTACAGAACACAGGCTGCAGCTACAAGTTCAAAGCTATTGAAATACACAAGAAAGGAACACTCCATGAGAGTTAAACTTTTCTGAATTGTAATTTCATCTAATTAGAAATGAACATCTTTGGTTGGAAACAGACACTGGAAATATAAACAGCTTAGCATTAGACCAGTACCAAAAATAATGTCTTCGTACATTCAGCTATTTAAAAATAAAGATTCAAGATTCTAATGTGCAGATGCCTGAATGTAAAGAAAATATTTCTCTATAGACATCTGTTCATTTGAAAAACCAAGAAAGTAATCATGTTCAGAAGTTGAAACTGATGGTGACATTTTCCTTTCAGAACTTGGTTAATATTGATATTAAAAAAAACCAGTTCTATTATGCAGCAATGTTGAAAGGTGTATAATATTAAGGAACAACACCGACACTGATGTTTAATTGTGGGTGTGAATAGTTTCCTAAAGAAATTACCTAACTCTGATACTAGGGAAACATTTTAACAAAAACCTACTGAAACGATTTTTTTTAAAGTTAACTTAAAGAATATATCTATTCTGGGCTGGAGATGTAGCTCAGTGGCAGAGTGCTTGCCTAGCATGCACGAAGCCCTGAATTCAATCCCTGGCACCACCAAAATAAAAAGAAAGAAAGAAAAGGTAAACAACCCTTATGCGGAACTCGGCTACATTACACACACAGACAAGACAAAAACAAAACACACACACACACAAAAAAAAACTGGAGCACTACTCACAGCTGCAGTTCTGGACTTCTAATACTGCTCAACTCTGAACCAAGGAGAGTGGGAATACAGTCATGATTCATCATTCATTAGCCTTGTCAAATCCAAGCTTATGAAGCATACAGCTCAGAAGTCAGTACTCTTCTTCTGCGTAGTTTTTCCTTTGTTAGTACCACCTGATATTTGCTTCTGATGAAAGGTGATTTATACAGTCCAATCTATAAAAGTCAGATATTATAAGAAATACAAATTCAGGCCGGGGATTTAGCTAAGTGGTTCCGCCTGCCTTGCAAGAGAAAGTCCTGGGTTCAGTTCAATCCCTGGGAACAAAAGAAAGAAAGAAAGAAAGAAAGAAAGAAAGAAAGAAAGAAAGAAAGAAAGAAAGAAAGAAAGAAAGGAAGGAAGGAAGGAAGGAAGGAAGGAAGAGAAATGCAAATCACAAACGATCTATTTTAAACTCAGTTTTATTATAATTAAATATAATTACAAGTCAAATTTTCTACCCAGATAACCTCAGCTGCATTATATAACCTTTGTCCTACAAGATCTTTATAGTCTTCACTATTATTATAGAAAGAAGTACAGACTCAAATATTCTGATCATTCTTCAGAAGGTAATCCCAATACCTCTGACGGAGTAAGTTAAAGGTGTAGGCAAACTATGATGACAACATTCACAATTTTTGAATATTTTTATTTGAAGAAATTTTTAATTTTAACCACTTAACAGTTTATCCTGAGTGTCACTGGGGCAGTATCTTTGCTGACATACTGACCATCCCAAGTATTGCTCAGGCAAGTGTTAACTAGTTTTTTGTTTGCTTGGGATACACTCATACTTGTCATTTTTATATTTCCTGTTATCTTATAAAAATTAATGAAAAAATACAATTTTTGGTCATCCTGTATTTAAATAATTGGACTGGTAAGTGGTTAAACTCTCATTTCCTTTACTTTGAAAAATTTACTCTGATATGACAGAAGGTATACTAACTGCAATATCGATTAATGCACAAAGTACCTTTGTATCAAGTGCTTTTTTGATACTTTGAATTCTTGCCTCTCCCCTTCTAATCTGAGCCCTGAAGTTCACTGTATCTTTCCCAGAACACAGCTCTACAATAGTAAAAGCTGGACACATGGAATGAAGGGAGGAAGGGTATAAATATGAATTACTTTTTATGTCTACTGTAATTTATTTCCTAAGGATTAAGAGACATTTCCATATAAAACATTTAGAGCGGGGCCAGAAAGGAAGCTTCTGTAAAGCTGTGGACTGCAAAGGTAGAGCAGAGGAGGTCTTGATTACTGAAATGGAATAGAATAGAAAAGATGGCCTGAGAGCATCACAGGAAGCGGCAGGACTCCAGCTTTTGCAGTCTCAGACTTGTAAAAGTGAAATATTTTGCTTTGAGAGAAAGCCCCAGAGGATCAAGTTCCAGAATGGCAGTGGCCTAGGGAAGTTGTACCTCAGGATCAATCCAGGCACCCTACAGCCAAGAGAGAAGGAAGCCTTGCAACTCCTCCAGCTGGCAGCAGACCTTGGTATCATCCGTGTGGTTCTGGTTTTAGGGACATGCAAAGTGCAAGAGTGGTGGAATCAAGCAGTGTGACCCTGAGAGGGCAGTGTGTGGAGCTATGAGGGACCCCAGAAGTCTGAAGAAGCAGGAGTGTGGATCATCTGGGGAAAGCTACAAGAGCCACCCAAGCCTTTTCAAGTTTACAACCTGCTGCAGATTGTCTCTGATGCTGGAAGTGGAACTATGTGATTTAATGCTTGTCCTGCTGGATTTTGAACTTGATTTGGTCCCATTCTTTTGTATCCCTGTTTGTAACTTTTGGAATGGAAATGAGCCACTGAATGTTGGAAGTGTTCAACTTTCTTTTCACTTGCATAGGGGCTTCCAACTAAGAGTTTGCTTTAAATCTCAGAGGAGACTTTGGATTTGGACTTTTCAGCAATCATCAAACTATTAGGACTTTGGCAACTCTTAGAGACGGACTAAATGCTTTTTTTTGCATAAAGGGATAAGCATGAGTCTTTGGGGGTGAAATGCTATGGTTTGTGTTTAAATGTCCCCCCAAAGCCTCATACGGATGAGGTGGGACTTTTTCTTTCAGAGGTAGTTGAATCTGGAATGTGTGATGCTGGGGTTAAGGGCGTGTGGTTACTAGATCACTACATATGAGAGATTAGTTTGGCACTGCCTTAATCCTGGTGTCTGAAAAAGATGAAGGGGGCAGAAAGATGCTCTTAAATCTCACCCTTGTTGCCTTTGCTCATGTGTGGACCATGTTGTTTCTCCTCTGCGATGCCTGTTTGCTATTTCTGTCTTGGAGCCAGCTGATTACAGACGCCAGCTGATTATAGACTGAAACCTCTACAAACTGTAAGCCAAATAAACCCCTTCCCCTCTAATTTAGGGCATCGGGTATTTTGTCTCAGCAGTGAGAAAAAAGTAACTAACACACATGACCTGTTCTGGCTTTTTCAGCTATAGTTAATATTTTAAAAAGTCAAGTCAGGTCTTAGAAATCTTTGTGCCTCAGCCTCTGGAACTGCTGGGATTACAGGTAAGAAGTTCTCAAGTTTAAAAATAGCCTAGGCAATATAGCAACACTTTGCCTTTAAAAACAAAACCAACACAGAACTGAGCTATTATGTCACCTTGTGGAAAAAGATCTGCTCTAAATATTTTTTTAAAGCACACAAAAAAGTCATCATGTTGTGGAAAAATTAGTGGATTAAAACATAATTCAGCATAAGAAAATAGGAAGCTTCCAACAGTTCTGAAAGCCTCACAACCTATGTATTAAAATGATAAAAGAATTACATGAGTATTCAGTGACTTCCTCTGGAGTTGTTCCTTCCATTTCTCCTGCTATGTTTTCAATATCATCACAATTTCCTACCACTAAAGTAACTTCATTAGTCATGTAAGTAACGGACAGAGTATATCAGTACAGAATTCAATAGAGTAACTCTTCAAATGTCTTCTTTCTAGTTTCACTAGACCTTGAAATTCTTACATAAGAGTTTTTAAGCACAAAGTAAAAACACTGCAGGATAGTTTGCAGTATACATTTTCATTCTTTTCAGATGTGTAGAGGTATCAACACACTTGGTGATGTTATTCTCATTCTACAGGTAAGGAAACTAAAGTGAAGATTCGATAAATAATTGAGCCTCTAAACCAAAAGCAATTTGGTGATTTAAAATATTTCAAGTATCTCTAAAGGAAGAAAAGAAATCTAAATGTATCTCTAACAGATAAATGAAAAGAAAGAAGTACAAAATTATTTAATAGTGTATGAATAAGCTTCCAAATCTGGGTGCTATATTCTTTATAGTATCATTATTTCTATGTCTTCTTCCCAAAAGGATATTGCCAATTAATCAACATTTTGATTTATTTTGATAGTGTTATCACCATTCGCCAAGTACTACATATTATGACTATTACCACTGAAGACCTTTTCCCTTTTATACTTCATGTAGCTACCTGCAACCCCAAGCCTGAATTCAAAACTCCTTTAATACAAAACTTTGAGGAAGTAGTGCAAATTTACTTAGTTCCTCCTGTCAGACAGCAGATCTAAGTGTTGGTATCCTTCTCTTGAATTCACTCATCCAGATGTGTAATGTAGTCTTAGGATCCAATATCACACAAGGAAAAGGAATGTTTCTATAGTAGTTCATGTAGCCAAGAAGAAAAATTGTTTAAAGAGTCCTTCCCAGGTCCTAAAACAGTTGAAAATAACCACAAAACAAAGAAAAATAAAAATAAAAATAGTGGGACATTTTTATACCTCCCACCATACACAGGAAAATTTAAAAGAAATGTTACAGGTTTATGATAGTGTAAGGCAAGAACTTAGTATGTGTGAAATCTTCCAAGCATTTTGCCACATAATCTTCACAAATGTGAGGGAGGTATTACCACCCTGTAATATCCAGTTAGTGTGACATTCCCAAGGTAACCTAGCATAGTGGAACGGAAGATTTCTTTTGACTCCACACTTTCCCCTATCAAAAACAGGAAAAGCCGGTAGATGAAAGAACTACCTGCTCTACAAAACAACACAGAAATACTTGTGAAATCCTGAGTTCAGATGTAAAAGCACCATAAAGTCAGGAAAACGTACCTGTGCGAAAAGGGTCCTCACGGGGCCCTGCAGAGGCACTCAGGTCCGGGGTGTCCACTTGGGCCCAGGATGTGGACTTCCCGGGCCTGAGGCCGGCGCCGCTCACACCTGCACCTCCTTCACCGCTTCATCTTTTCCCGTCTCCGAAGTGTCATCTTCTCCCGTCTCCGAAGTGTCGTCTGTGCTGTCACTAACCACTTCATCTGGTATAGTAAGGGCAATATATTCACACTTTTTTGCTCCTGGAGTATCACCTGGAGTATCAACCTCAGGCATGTTGATCACAGTGTGTGCAGTGTGATGTGTCACAGCACGTGGTAGAGCAGAAACAGAAGACAAACCATCTTCTGAGGTTGGTGGTAATGAGGGTGAGTGTTGCTTTTCATCCTGACCCCCAGTGGGAATTTTTTCATCCTGACCCTCAGTATGATTTTTTGGTTTGTGTTGTCTGCTGATGGTCCATCCTTTAAAGTAATACAAAGTGTTCCACATTAGGCAAGGTATTTTTAACATAATACAAGCTCCCTCCTCTCTTCTCTCCTCCTTTTGAAGAGCCTGTACCATGGTACTGCTCTAAGCATGTGTCTTTCTTTCTTTCTTTTCTTTTTTTTTTGTACTGGGGATCAAACTCCTCACCTTGGACTTGCGAACAGGTGGTAGAACCACTGAGCTAAATCCCCTGCTCTTCCTTGGGTTTCTTTTTTTTTAATAGGAAAAATAATCTTTATTTAAACAAATAAAAACATGTTAAGACACCAATGTTACCTAAAACTTGACAGTGAAGATTTTTCTTTTATTGTGCTGGGGACTGAAACCAGACCCTCCTGCATGCAAGGCCAGCACTCTGCAAACTGAATTATGGTTCCTGCCACACAGTTAAGAATTCCCTTGGGGCCGGGGATTTAGCTCAGTGGCACCGGGCCTGCCTTGCAAGCGCAAGGACCTGAGTTTGATCCCCGGTACCAAAAAAAAGAAGAATTCCCTAAAGTTCAAAAAAGACTGGAAAATAAATCTTCAGTCTTCTGGCTCTTTAATGCACACTTCTCCATCTGTTTTTCTGCCTTTTTTCTACCGTTTATTGTTGTTAGGATGCTTATCAGCCATAGCCTCTTTCTTTGGGTCTCTTGAGTCACTACATTCCAGATAACTGCTTCAGGAATCTGAATGGCAGCACTAGAAAGTTTTTCATTTAATTCCAAACTTGAAGAAATAAACTTGGAAAGATTAAGTGGTTCGTCATCTATAGCACCTCTGCAGACATAGCCTCATGTTCCTTCCTTTTGATTGGAACCACACGACAAGCATTGTATTTGCAGTTAGCCATCTTTTTAGCTATGTTTGGATTTTTCTTTTTGCAGGACACCAGGAGGTACCACAACCTGCTGGCTGGCATTATAAGGATGTATTTTTAAGACTTCTGGCTCCATGAGGCCATAAGGCCCTTGGTGCTGTTTTGCTGCTCAGCTGCCTCCTTCTTTTGGTTTCTTAAATGATGAATACATGGCTTCAGTGGGAGAACCAAATTCCCTACTTACGTGAAAGAGTTGAATGGCTGGTACTTACCCATATGACTAATCTGTTCAGGTAAGTCGTCTTTAAGATTGGAGAAGTCCCACATGGCCAAGAAAGACTTGAACCATGAGCCTTCTTCCTGGCTCTGCACGTAGGGTTTGTGGGAGAAAACATGATGGTGGGCAATCCCGGCCACAAACATTTCCAAACAGACAAGGAAATACTGTAAAAACAACAAAAATAGCAGCCAATTTTGGGGCTTAAATCTAGTGAAATAGGAAGAAAAGGGCTAAAGGTGTAGGGAAAGTGGGAAGGGTAGGGGAAAGGAAACAAGGGAAAAGAAACAAATATGAGAAAATGAAAAAATGGAAATAGAGTTTTTGTAAATAGAGGAGGGAGGAGGGGGTGAAGGGAGGGCAGGGACAAGGGGAGAAAATGAGAACCAAGACCTGTCATGTAAAGGTATAAGATCCCAGCAATGAATGCAACTGTACTGTATCCCTAAAATGTACCAATAAACTCAATGAGGAAAAAAAGAAAACAAAGTTCAAATGTACTGATAAACTTGATTAATTAAAAAATAAAAAATAAATAAATTTATATCTTTCACCAAGCACTTTTCAAAAGAACTTAAGTTTCTGCAGCCATTTTCGTTTCATATTATATTCATTATTCCTTTTCCAAAAATTATTTACTTCTTCATAAATCTATTTTGCACTTCCCAAATCAAATATTTCCTAGCAAAGTACACTGTATTCTCAATTCACCACCCAGAGACTAAGGAAAAAAGCAGAAAGAGAAATAGACTAGGAAGACCAAAACCCAGGATTCATTTCATGTTCTATTAGGGTACGTAGAGCCAGTTTCTCTAGGATTCTGTTTCCTTCAGGCTATTATTAGGTTTAGTGAAGATGACAGGTAAAAGTGTTTAACACTAAAGTTCTACTGAGGTCACAGTTAGCACTGCTTACCTGGAGGCCTATGGCCACCTCTTCTGGAGACTGCCAGTCCCACAGAGGCCCTCTAGAAATGACTTTACATTTCACCAGTATAGCAATGATAACTCCTTGCCTAGATGTTGGGAAGAGGTAAATGCTGAATCTTTATAAAGCATAAAAAGGCAGTTGTTTTTAAAATATGTCATTTAAAATAGTTAAGGCCACAGTATGACCTGAAGACCACCACCACCCTGCCTTCACAACCTACTCCTAAAGAAACCATGCATCTACCTTAAATACACAAATGTACTCTTCAAATACAGTTTCAACAGAGCAATTCTAATTATGGATTCTCAGAGCACTGTACTTGCTTCATATATCTTCGATGCTATTTTAAAAGGCAAAAGTTAGAAGAAATCTGATAGCTATACAACAGAATACTAAGCAAAAACAAAAACTCCAAACAACAAAATTGTATTTCTCTTTACTGTCAAAAGAACTGTAACTACTATATAGTGAACATATGTTGTCGAGTTCTCTAAGTTTTTTTATAGTATAAAACCATGATTCCTTCAGTGTTGAGAAAATTAGTTTACTTCAAATTATTTTTTATTCATGGCACAGTGACCAACTGATTATTTCTGTATGAAAATCCTGGAAGCCCTAAAGGGGTGAACTTGTTTTCAAGTAGAGTCATTTTAATCCACCTTCTGCTAACAATACCTTAAAATCAACATTTTTATTGCACTTCAGAAAAATGAGAACATTTAAGAGAAAGCAACACTTACCAAAAAGAGACAAAAATGACTAATGTCACACATAGAAATTTACCAATGGGGTAGAGTGGCTTCAGTTCTTCCCTGAGTGTGGAGTAGAACAAAATAAGGCAATACATTGCGAACTGTGAACGAGAGTAGCATTTAAACTTCTGCAGTAAGAATAACTAAAGCAATATTAAATTATAAACCAGAGGCTTGGTACAGTTCAGGCAAAATTTTCTAGGCTCTATTACTCTGTAGATTAACAACAAATGTTTATTTTTTTCTGTTGAAGAATATATTTATAAAATCAAAGTTCTCAAAAGAGATACAGATCCCCCTCCCTGCAGACATCCATGGAAGAAAACACTTGTTCAGCCAAAATAAAAAGTCTGTAATGGCTTTTAAATACAAGTTACCATTTTTAATGGTTCAGCATCTTATCTACTCTGTTACCTAACATTGTACATATATGAAGGAAGACAGCACCTTAAACAAGTACGGTTTCAACAAAATTGTGACCAGGAAATCAGAAAATAAGGAATCAGGGAAGCAATTTTTACAAAACTGAGTTCTTTAAAGGCAAAGACCTTTAAAGACCTTTGTCTTTAGGATAAACCCTAACACATAATAAGTGCTCAATGAATATTAGTTAATGAACAAATGAATCACACAGATAACTGGACTGGGTTTCTCAGGCCCTAATCTCAGCTCTAAGACTCTGCAGAGATTTTCCCTCCTTTCACCCCACCCCGCTAGTCACCATGATATCTGATTGTGGTAACCATTTAATGAGGGCTTAACATAAGGCAGACATAGTGCTGATTATCTCTAATTCTCACAATGTCGTTAAGGGGTGAATTTGAATACAGTATTGTTTATATTTTACACCTAATCCTAAAAGACTGATATAGAAGGAAATATAACTCCTGACCTGTTAGATGTCAGATGTGCTGAGTTTGTGGTCCAACAACATCAAGGAATGAAGATTTAAACCAAAGGAAGAAGTTAAAAGAGTTTTATTGGAAACAAAGACAAAGAGAATAGCTCCTGGATTTCCAGGAGGGGCCCTTGGTCGGGGTAATCTGTACCACAAAATCACAAAGTCGGTACAGTGTTGGGTTAGATGACAACCTACAGGATTACAAGTATAGCTAATCCTGATATAATGGGGAAACAAGTCACATAGCAGGGGTACATGGAAAGAACAAAGGCATTTTTGGGAAGGGACAGGTTCAGGTACTCTGGTCACCCACCCGGGTATCTGATGCCTAGCTGGATTTATTGGACCAGGTGATGCTAATTATAGTATAATTTCAAGTTACTCTGTAGGGAGGCAAGTAGGTTTGGCCCTGTATTTTTATCTCGAGGCCTGGCCTTCTTCAGATTTGCCTTCAGCCATAATTCTGATGTATTTATTTTTTGTGCTGACTTCCTTGAGGGCCCAGTCCCTCTCTGACTGTACATTAATTTTTAATTTAGCTGCCTGTAATAAGATCATCCAGCTAAGAAAGGAGAGCCCATCAGAGAGCAATTGTCATTTTCAGATCTGGCTCTATAGTCCCAAAGATTTCAGCGTGCCTCAGCTTTAAGAGATTAGAATAAGAATCCTCCTCAGGGGGGAATAATACTCTCCTGGAAATCTTTTTTTTTTTGTACTGGGGATCAAACTCCCGACCTTGCTCTTGCAAGGTAGGTGGCAGCACCACTGAGCTAAACCCCCAGCCCTCTCCTGGAAATCTTTAATGGTCAATGTGTCAGGAGGTGGACGCAAATAACTCTCCTTGTTCTGATCCCTGTGGCCAGGAGTAAGGAAGTGCACCCTTTTCTGGTGGGTGCAGGAAATGAGGCACGCAGCTTTTTATAACCAACTTGTCTTGAGACTTTCTGAGCAAGTTGCACCTTCCTGGAATCCTGGTTTCTTTTTCTATGAAATAGGGTTGATAACACCAATCTCACTAGTATTGTTGTGGCTAAGTTTTGTTTGTTTTGAGACAGGGTCTCATCATGTAGTCCATGCTGACCTCGATCTCGCAGCAATCTTCCTGTCGAGCCTCCCGAGTGCTGGTATTACAGGCATGCGCCACCATACCCGGCTGTTGTGGATAAGATTAAATATGACATCTAATAGCTTTACACCGTTTTAAGCACACAGTAAACCCCATGAAGTAAACATTCAACAATAGCAGCCCTGAGTGGTCCGCAGAGAGCCGAGAAGAACAAAACTGGAAAGATTAGGAGAGTGTGTGGGGCTTAAGAGGACGGCATCAACGGATTGGGTTAGCCGAAAGGGGCGGGACCAGAGGGAGGAGCCAGTCGCGTCCCTCCAAATCCCTTGAACTTGGAAAAAACACGCGGTAGTTTCAGCTGTAACCAATTCCAGAGCTGCGTCTTTTTGCGTCAGTAGTTGCCGAGGTTCAGAGCCACGCGTCTCTTACCGAGTTCAGTTCTATCCGTTACTTCTGGACCCGCGTTCAGCACTTGCGTATTCTTCCGTTCAGACGGAGAGGACAGAGAGAAAATCTCAGTCACCTTCTGGGGTATCCGAGCCAGAAAGAAGCCATTCACATATGCAGAGGAGTATAGGCTTCACTTTTTGTTCAAGCTGCAGGCTGGCACCCTGTCAGGAGCTGTAGTATACCAAGATTCTGGTTCTTCTTAAGCCACTTGCTATAGAGGCAGGAAGTTGCTTTGGGGCGGGAAAGCGGGCCAGGGAAGGACGGTAACTTGCGGGAGTCTAACGGCGAGGACTGGAGTGTCCTTGGGTTAGAAAGGAGTGTTGAGTCCTGGCCCTTTAAACCTGGGGGGGAGGATCCGGAAGTGGGTGGGCGGGACAAGAGCCCGAGTATATAAGAGAGCTCTAGCCGCGCGGGGTCTCCAATCTGCCATTTTCTGTCTCCGAGTAAGGTTCTACCTCCCCAGATTCCCTCCGTTTTCCTCACAGGCTCGTTTCCGCCCACTGGCTCACCACCTCACGGGAACGATGGCCACAGAGTCCACAGCCACAGCTGCCATCGCTGCGGAGCTAGTTCCCGCCCACAAGTAAGCGAGACCGTAACAAGCTTGAGGCAGTGGCCGGAGTCCGTGGGGAGGGCTGGTGTCCTGGGGCTCCGCAGGAGGCGGAGGCGAGTGGAGGGAGGACTGCTTTCCCTTGAGCAATTGCCGATGGTCTGGGAGGTCTGGACAGCGGAGCAGCTCCGCTTTTACTGAGAGCCCGCGCACTAGCGATAACGGCGGGCGGCTGGCGCCCCCTGCCCGGTTTTTCGCGGCCGCCATCTTGCCGGGGGCCGCGGCGCTGTCTCCATCGCTTGATACCCTCACGCTCCTACTGCCCGCGCGCTGCTAGTGTGCACTTTCCGCTTGAGTCTAGACACCCGGGGAATATGACCCAAAAGATTTGGCGCCAAAAAAAAACGCTGCACGAGGAGGGAGGCTGGACCCGAGGGGTCGGTGTGGGCGGGGCTGTGCGGAGGGCGGGGTCTTTTGCGAGAGCCTTAGTTTCCCTCCCTCGCTCTGGAGCAGGGGGCGGAGCTTGAGGAGGCGGGAAAACTCCATTGTTTGGGACTGCTGTGGCTGGAGCCAGAGCCTTGAACTTCCGCGGTGTGGCGTGGTGTAGCCGCCGCCTGGTTCACTTCGTGCTTCCCTCCTAGCGTAGTTCTCTTGACCTACCCTCGGCCCGGCAGGAGACGGGCTGCTTCAGGGGTACGTTGTCGAGTTGGCAGCTTTTGCACCCCTTGCTGCGCAGAGTTCCTTACGGATTTCACCTGTTGCCAGGTGAATTGGTAATATGCAAGTAGTGTAGTGGAAGGAAAAAAAGGAGGGAAAAAAGGTGTAATTTCCTTGAAAGCCGCACAGTGCCATTCAGGCATAAACTACTTTTGAATAGTAGACAAACGCCGTCATTTCGAGGAAACTTCCATATAGTAGGTCTGAGTTCTTAATCCTCTCATTTTTTTAGGGGCCTGGTTCTGTTTGTTTTCCTTCCTTTGTGGACTTTTGAAGTTAGTCGCCTATTCAGTAAAAAGGTTTTTGTGAGTTTTCTTGATTTTTTTTCCTGTCGGCTTACAACTTAGTTGACTTTTTTTTTTTGAAACAAAGAACAATAACCTAGGCTTGCCTAAACTCACTGTGTAGCCCAACCTGGCCTCTAACTTCGGGGCAATCCTCTTGCCTCAGCTTCCTGATTGCTGGGATTACAGGGGTGCACCATCACCTCCGTTTTAGTTGACTTTAAATTTAGTAGGTTTATGGTTATCAGAGATTTTCTTGTCTCTGCCTTTCCTAGTAGGTCCATGAAAAGCAGTGGTTCTCAAGCTACCCTCAGAATCATTTGGGAACTCCAGTTTTAATTTCATATTACTTTTTTCCTGCCTTTTCCTCATGGATTCAATAGAACCAAGATAGATTTGGTTTGAGAGTTCTGTGGTGTCTGTTAGAAAGAGAATTCTTGCTGGGTGTGGTAGTGCTTGCCTGTAATCCCAGCACTTCCAGGATTCCCCATCCCTCAGATACATACACACATATACACACACACACATACATTTTTTGGTACTCCTCTGATACTTTAAAGGTGTGTTTTCCTTAGCTGGTAAAAGTATGACGAAATATCTTGCATATTGCAGGAGTCATTTGTGACTATCCTTTTAGGTTATTAGTGAGCTAGTCTGCAGCTTTCTGTAAGGTCATTCACAGATTCATATATGTGCCTCTAGAAAAAAAATATTCACCATAATTGTAAACTAAAAATGAGCAAAATTGTATGAATATGTTTGTTTGTTTGTTTTTGAGACAATCAGCCTGTCCTTGAACTCAGAAGGTAGCCCAAACTGGCCTTGAACTCTGCCTCACAAGTACTGGGATTACAGGAGTGCCCAACCATTCCTAGCCTTCGTGGTTTTTGTTTGAGTACACTCTGCTGTTGGTGAAAGAATTCAAAATGAGAGTGGAGAAATTAATAAGTGACAATCTGGGTTAAATCCTAGTATTTCAATTTTCATTCCTTCATTCTCCAAGAACTTAACTGAGGCTTGGGATTTAGCTAAGTGGTGCTGCACCTGCCTTGAAAAAGTGCAAGATTCTAAGTTTGATTCCTGGCACCCCCCCAAATAAAAAATAAATACAAATATAAAAACTTAACTGGCAGAAAATTGCCTGGCTAATTAGTCTGAGAACAATAAGAACTCATCTCAGTTAAGTGTCAATAAATTAATTGGTGGAGTTATTTAGACGTAAAGCTTCTGCTTGGCATGGGTTGTACATGCCTGTAATTCCAGCACTTGGGAGGCTTAGGCAGGAGGTTCATTGCAGGGTCAAGGCCAACCTGGGCCACATAGTGAGTTAATGGCCAACCTGAAACACACAGCAAGACCCTTCCTCATAAAGAATAAAACAATTCCAGTTTTAAGAAATAAAGCTTCTGCCCCAGGGATTTATTTATTTATTTGATTTTTTGAGACAGGGCCTTACTATGTAGTTGAGACTGACCTGGAACTCACTATGTAGCCTAGGTTGGTCTTGAACTCACAGAGATCCTCCTGCTTCAGCCTCCGGAGTGCTGGATTACAGGCATGCACTACCACATCCAGCTGCCCCAGGGATTTAGCTCAGTGGCATGGCGCCTGTTTAGCAAGCTCAAGGTCCTGAGTTCAATCCCCTGTCACCACCCCCCCAAAAAAGTTTCTAACAGGTATGGTTAGCACACACCTGTAATCCCAGCACTTGGGAGACTGACGAGTTCAAGTCCAGCCTGAACTACATAGTGAGACTCTGTCTCCAAAAAAAGGATACTCATTGTAATTTCAGTTATAAACATTGAAAGAATAAAAATCGGGGGCCAGGGATTTAGCTCAGTGGTGCCAACGGCTGCCTCCAAAGCATAAGGTTCTGAGTTCAATCACTGGTACCAAAAGAAAAAAATTGGTAAAACGTCTAAACCAAAGAGAAAGTTGGATGAGAAAGCTCAATTCATACCAGGTTTTTTGGTTATTTTTTTGGGGTACCTGAGATCAAACTCAGGACCTTGTGCTTGCAAGGCAGGCATGGTACTGCTGAGCTAAATCCCTGGCCCAAGTTTGGTTGGTTTTGATACCACTCCATTGCTTAAGTAGTGTTGTTGGATAGGTTTTTTTTTCCCCCTCAGTACTGGGGATTAAACCCAGGTCCTCTGCACTAAGCTATGTCCCCCAGATTCTCCTCCCTCAGCTTCCCAAATGCTGGAATTAGAAATTTGTAGCATTGCTTTCTGAGGAAGAGGCACTTGTGGTGTGGGGCTCCTTAGCTCTGTCCGCTCCTGCTCCCGACTCACTGCTGTTCGCTCTTGGCAAGGAACAAATCGGTCAGCAAGCTGCGCCACTGCCATGGCTTTTAAGGATACTGGAAAGACATCCGTGGAGCTAGAGGTGGCCATTCACCGAATTAGGATTACCCTCACCAGTAGCAATGTGAAATCCCTGGAGAAGGTGTGTGCTGACTTGATCAGAGAGAGGTGCAAAGGAAAAGAATCTCTGAAAGGACCCGCTGGCATGCCTACTAAGACTTTGAGAATCACTACAAAAAAATACGCCTTGTGGTGAAGGTTCTAAGACAGATGAGAATCCACAAGCGACTGATTGATTTGCACAGTCCTCCTGAGATTGTTTAAGCAGATTACTTCCATTAGTATTGAGCCAGGAGTGGAAGTTGAAGTCACCATCGCAGATGCCTAAGGCAACTGTTTTAATAAATTGATAATCAATTGTTAAAAAAAAAAAAAGAAATATGTAGCATCACATCCAGCAGTTATGTTGTTTAAAATAAGATTAAGATAACTTGTGAGTTAGCTTCATGAAATTGTGATGAATAATGTCATTGTAATTGGAATATATTTGTATAAAATACTGGGTATTGTGTTTGGTGTGTGGAGGACAGTATATTAGTTTGAATGTGTAAATGGAGAAAATGGTCTCAATGGGACTTGCATGAAACGTATAATACTGAGTTAGTGAATTTTTTCTTTTCCTGGTACTGGGGATCAAATTTGGAACCTTGTGCTTCCAAGGCAGGTGGCAGAACCATTGAGCTATATCCCTGGCCTTTTTTTTTTTTTTTTTTTTTTGGCACAGGATCTCACTGGAGTTTAGGCAGGCCTTGAATTCACTATATATTTTTTTCCTCTCATTGAGTTTATTGGTACATTTTAGGTATATAGTAGAACTCACTATATTTTCCAGGGTGGCCTCGAATTCCTGCAGCAGTCCTCCTCCTCCCTCACCTTTCTGAGTGCTGGGATTACAGGAGTGGGTCCACCACGCCCAGCAAGATTAACATTAATTAATGTAGAGTTTGACTGCACAGAGATCATAATAAATCCATTGTATCAAGGTTCGCTCTTGCACAATGGCCTGCCCTCATGCTGTAGGGCAGTGATGGGGAACCTTTGAGAGCTTTTAATGATTACAAACAGCTCTCTGCAGCACACATGCCATAGGTTTGCCACCACTGCTATAGTTCTTTTATTTATTACTTGGCCGAAACTCACTCTGCAGAGGCTGTTTCTTTTCCTGCCTTTAATAAAACTTGATTACTGGTTAAAAAAAAAAAGAAAGAAAAGACCCTGTCAGTGAGTGGTAAGTGGTAGCCTGCATCGGGTGGCAGGCTTTATACTGGCAAGTGAGTTGATACACTTCAGTTAAAAAAAAAAAAAATGTCGGGTGTGATGGCACACTCCTGTGTAATCCCAGCATTCAGGAGGCTGAGGCAGGAGGGCCGCTGTGAATTCGAGGCCAGCCTGGGCTACCTAGTGAGTTCCAGGTCAGTCTCAACTACATAGTGAGACCCTTTCTCAATAAACTTAACTAACTAAATTTTATTAGTATGGTTACATTCATACTTCCTTTTCCCTTCCCCTCCCCTCCTCACATCTCTGGATCCCCTTTCCATTTGCAAAAGATCTGTGTTACTGTTTTCCTATTTTTTATTTTGTTCTTTGTTTATACTTTGGGTTTATCATGTAAGAGAAGCAATGTGATATTTAAGCTAGTGTCTGATATATTTCACTTAACATT